GGACCTGTATAATCTCCATGTTTAAATAAGAAAAATAACTTTTATCATTATAAATTGCAACATCTGCAACTACACTTAAACATTATGTTATTATTTCCAGTCACCAAAGGGGTTTTTGTTTGCCTAATATTTCAGACAGCATACAACAATGGTGGTTACATAAAGCTGCATTTGGCAAGCTCTGAGTATAAAAGGAAAGTGACATCAGAGTTGCACCACGGACCAGGGATGAAAAATGACCGTCTAATTAAAAGGATTATTAAGGCCCAGGAAAGCAGGAGGAAGGGGGTTACTATCTGTGAGGAGAGACAGGGCTAGAGGTAACCTAATAGGTAATCCAGAGAAGTTAGTGGTGCTGGGATACAAAATACCATGTGAAAACCTTTTCTAAAGGTGTAGAAATGGTTCTAAAGGTTTAGAGTCCCTCTAAATTTGTTATAAAACGAGGAGGGAACATTCTTATTTTTAAAACAGGAGAAGGTAACAGGAAACACTCATTAAGCCTTTCTAGATCTCTCTGTGCTCTTTCGCTCCAAGGACCAAATGCCACATAAGTGACAAGTCTACAGCCTCTCAAAACTAGTATCAACAGCAAGACAGAATTTACTCATTTCCAAGAGAGCTTTCTTAACGTCCCAACTCACTTGAAAGGGAGTGGGATTGTTATGTGCTTGCTGATGTTGCTATTTTTAGTTTCTTGTTCCTTAAGTTAGTGAGGTTGAACTGGTCCCATGAAGTCTATGGGCTGCTTGCTCATCACTGACCAGAGGAAAGGGTTTGAAAGACGAGTTAAGAACATGAATTTTTTTTAATATAAAAACTCAGCTAAATATTTTTTGTAATGAGAAAACGTATTACAAAGCACAGCTTTACCAAAAAATTGTTATTCAATTATAATAGAAAGTGTAAGTCTCCAAGGCATTATCTTTAATTTCTGAAACAAGAGTCATTCAAGAAAAAATTAGAGATTTGCTTGAAGCACCTAAATGACTCATTATGAATTATTCCTTTTATTATTTATATCTGAATGAGATGTCCTATGAGAATCTTTCATGAAAATATAAAGGTCCTCTCTTAAATGGTAGTTAGTTCCAAAGTACTAGAACACAACCTGAATTTGAAAATCTGTGAATTCTGTATTCATTTATCAGTGACCAAAACAATCTCAAAGACGCTGAGGAAACTCTTCGCTTTAATTTGCAATCAATATTTAATTTAATGAATATATCTCAGCTTTACAAAAAAGCAAAAGAGTGTTAGTCCATAAAAAGAAATGATTAAAAATGAAATGATTAACTTTTTCCAAAAATATTTTTCAACTTAGTTATCAAAGCCTAGAAATCACCAAGTATATGTCCTGTCTGAAATCTTTTATACTAAGGTAAAGACCAATACTAACTTTTTTTCACTTTCAACAATTTATATTACTTATATTTCCTAAGACATACATTCAATTATATTCAAAAACACTTTATCAAAACAGATATACTATATATTATTGATGATTTTTAATTATTAAAAATATTTTATGTATTCAGATATGCACATTTCCCATCTATACAGTCCTAAGTCAGTGGTAGAATATTTTAGCATTTCTTAATCAAACCTTAAAGGGCTGCATTAACCATACACCTAATACAAAATATTTTTACTTTGGTTTCCTTTTCTATTTGTTCATGAAACAAGGATAGCAGATCTTGTAAACTACTAGCTAGGATTTACAAAGCACTAGATAACAGGGGACACGAGGGATTAGGGAATGCTTCTTCACAACTGTGGTGTGACTTTAAAAAGAGGTCACCACACTTAAGAGGGTAGGGGTGTGAGGTATGGGCATCAAGATGGCACCAATGATTCTCACCTCCTGACATTCACATTTTTGTATAGTCCCCTCTCTACAAAATAGGATCTTACAAAAATGAAGATGTGATTTATGAGGTTAAGTCTTAAAAGACCCCGAGGTTCTGTCTTGCTTTCTCTTGATCCCTCAACTTTGGAGGAAGCAAGCTGCCATGTGAAGACACTCAAGAAACTCTGCAGAGAGGTCCATGCAGAAAGGAACTGGAGCTTCCTGCCCACAATACCACTAACTTGCCAGATAGGTGCTAAGCCACCCTGAAAGTGAATTCTCCAACCCCAGAAAAGCTTTCAGATGGTAGCAGCCTGAGCCAACAACTTGACTGCAAGCTCAAGAGACTATGAGCCAGAGCAAACAACAGACAACTAATACAGAGTATATAACATATCTGGCAGAGAACACCATGCACAAAAAAAGTACAGAGGGATGATATAGTCAAGCAAGCTTGGGTAAGCAGTTCAGGATGGTTAAAGTATGAAGAGATGAACCTAGAGAAGTATGCAGGGTCCCGGATCAGAGATTCTTTTCTGCCCAGCTAAGGAATTTGGACTTTATCCTATAGGCTAAGCAATAAGTAGGGAAGTCAGTGCAAGTTCTTCAACAGAGAAATAACATAACTAGATTCAAATTTTAAAAGAAATACTGAGTAGCAGTAGAGATTAAATGGTAGGGAGGAGGGCACTATGACTGGAAGCTGTCCCATTAGGAAGGCCAGTCAGCATATTCTCTTACCAGTGCAAGAGGAGAAATGAAGAACAGCTGTGAGGTAGAACTCTTCTGGGGCCCATCCATATTCACAGTCAGAGAGTTCACAGCCAGCTGGGCTCCAACAAGCTGACTCCATTAATGGTACAGGCGCAGAGCTGACCCCTCCCGCAACCACGTGGACAAAGACCTTTCAGTATCATCCTCGCAATTAAGTCACTTCCCGTTCTACTCAAAAACAGAGGCTTTAATGCCAGTGCAGGGTCCTATAGATGCATATCCTCAAAACTAGTGAATGCTATTCCCTAACCACCAGGAGCTGTTAGGCCTCAACATGAGTTCTACCATGAGAATGAAGTAAATCCATCAAGAGGCCAAAGCAACTGCTGAATCCAAAACGGAGTCCAAATAACTAGCTAAATGCCACCATTCCCAACCCCACTCCACTATTCATCCATGGTAGATCTTTTTTCAGAGCCCTGATTATCCCTACTCCTGTGGACCACCTTCTGCCAAGCCATATGAACACTGAGAACCACACCCCCCAATTTGCCAGGGGTCACTACTGATTGTCAATGATGCTGCCTTGAAGCCAGCAAAATTCTCATTCTTAAGACTCCAGATTTCCCCCTTTTATCACAATATGCTTATTAACATGAATTAAGATTCTGATACAATGATTTCATTTATATAATTTCAAAAAGCAGTAAAACCAAACTACTGGATTGTTTAGGGATGCATTCATCATTTTCAAAGAGCAAAAAAATTAAATCCATAAAAAGCAGGATAGTGGTTATCTCTGCAGGAGGAGATGAAAAGTTTTTGACTGAGACAAAATGCATGGGGAGGGAAAATTTCTGAGGGTGCTGCAATGTTTTAATTTTCAGTCTGGGTGTTGGTTACACACGTGTTGGCTTTAATGTTATTCATCAGACTGTATGTATACTGGTTTTATGTACGTTCTGTTTATTACATTTCTTAATAAAAATGTTTATAGAAAGGCAAGACCCCTTGACCCACAAAAAATGTTTAAAATCACAAAAATATGCAAATAACATACAGAAAATCCACTTAAGAGGATAATTTAACTAGTAATATGTATGATTAAAAAATATGTTTAAAAATGTAAACATGTAACTAGTAAATATGTATCGTTAAAAAATATTTCTGTCCCACCAGCAGCATTTTTCTCCTTATCAAAACAAATATTTGCCTCCTAAATCAGTAAAAGTTAATTCAAGTATCACATCTACTGCTGGTGAGCATGATAAGACTGGTTCTCGTACTCTGATGTGATCACTAAAGCAATGTGGCCTTTTGATCCAGAAATTCTTCAAATTCCCGAAACTGAAATATGAGAAGAATTATAAGCATAAAGGTCTTACCCTCAATGTTATTTTTCTTTAACAGCTAGAAGAAAAGTTAGAACCAACATAAATAATAAATAGCAGAACACTGTTTAAGAAAATTATTTATCTATTTGAGGAACTATATGTTACTCTTTAAATTGACCATTATGGTTACTGTAGTTATATTTTTTAAAAATCTTCAATGGAAATATATACTGAAATATTGATGTATCAAATGATTATATAGTATTTCCATCAAAATAATAGGTAAGGATATGAAAAGTAGGTGAGGGTATAAATGAAACAAGATTGGCCATTAGTTGATAATAGCTGAAACTGAGGAATGAGTACAATTTTCTATACTTGTATTTGGTACATGTTGAAATTCTCCATAATAAAATTTTTGTAAAACTAAGGGGAAAATTAAGGTGATGAACTGAAATTATATAGCTGCATCTTTCTAAGCTAAGAAAAACAGATAGGATAGGATGGAGGGAAGAAAAGCAAATCAAAATCCACTGTTTATGTTAAGAAGCCTTCAATATTTTCTTTTATTCCCAAACTTTCTGTTTTATTACTTCTATAGTTTACTTAGCTATTTCATCTAATCTTTTGAACATAATTTAGTGCAAATAGTTTCTAAATTGCAGTTAACCAGAGATTCCTGAATCTATCTTCTAAGACAGATACGGTGAATTATTTTTCTGTTCACCATCTACTTCAGATTCTTCCTGGCTTTTTAAGCTACAGTTTTACAGCTGTTCTATTTTGAAACCTAGTTTCTTCTACTGCATATTTATGTATTACATGCATCTTAAAACCGGTATTTTGGTACTTTATATTTTAGCCGAAAATGCAGTTCTTGTCTTTTCTTTCAGAGACAGTTAAAAAAAATCAAATATGGACAGTTTATGTGTGCTTATATTGGTTACTCATAAACTGTTGATTAACTAATGCCATAATGAGTATTGTACTTATCTGAAAAGTTAAGTTACTCTGCAGTTATATTAAAATCTCTCTGTGTGTATGTGTTTCAATTGCCATAAAGAAAAGCTAAATGTAGGGAATTAATTTTGAAATACACTTACCAGGATGGTTAGAAATGGGAGGCTGGAATGCAAGCTCATTGTGAACTGGCGGCCCTAAAGAAAAGACAATAAAAATCCCATTTTCATTTATTAAAAGTTTTCCAATGCTGAAACTTTTAATAAACCTTAAATATAACTATCATACCTTAGGAATTGTTTAGATCAAGCTTATGCAATGTCTAAGAATGTAAAAGCTTAGTTTACTTTATAATTATAATAAGCAAGTACTCTTGAATTACTTTTGTAGCTATTTAATAGCCAACATTTTAGAGCTGTATACCAACTGTTAAACAATTTACAATAGTTGTACATGCAAAATTTAATGTAATTATAAATTATCCATGTAATACAGTACAATTCATAATGTAATATATAATAATAATTCAAATTGTGAGGTCCATTTTAAAACAAGTGTTTATCGTTTATTAAATTAAGAATATTTACAAAATGGCACAGTAGCTAACATAACTGAGAGATTATTATGTGTTAAGACATTGTGCTAAACACCTCACATGAATTATTACATTTACTTCTTACAACATCCCTGAGACAGATACTACTATTACTACCCTTAAGTCTTAGGGAGGTTAAATAATTTGCCAGTGGTCACACAGCCAGTTAAGGGTCCAAACTCAGCACCCGTAACAACTATGCTGGCCCAGGCAGCCATTAAAAACTACATTCTCTTAAGACATGGAAAAATAGTAACATAACTGTAAAAAAGCAGGGTACAACAACATAGTCACAGTCTGATTTCCTTCTCCCCCCAAATTTATATATATACCCGACTATATGACTGGAAGGAAAAATGTGACAAAATATTAGAAGTAGATATCTCTGGGTAGTAGGATTCTGGATAATTTTTATTTTCTTATTTACTCCTCTGTGTATTTTCCAAGTTTTCTTTGGTATTATTAATCTTATAATGGAGGAAAAGGGATTTAATATATATGAAAGATTTATACTCTTGATTTTACTAGGCCAAATGAACAATGTTCCTGTTCTGCCTGAAACTACAAGCTATGGTTATCAGTAGGGTATCCCTCCCAATCAAGCCTGCACAGAGTAGAGGAATGACAGATTCAACATCTGAGTGTCTATGGTATGCTGAACTCTGTGGTGAGAGAAACCTTGAGATCTTGACACTCAAGGAGTTTCAATACACTTAGGGTGGATATACAGATACACATGAGATCTAACAACATACACAAAACAAACAAACAAATGAATGGCAATCAATGTGGTGTTAATGAAATATCAGCAACAAAGAAATAAAAGTATTCTGTAAATATCAATCCTCTAAAACAAAGGTATAACATAACTATGAAAAATAAAACTGTTTACCAAAAATACTGAAAAGCACTAATCATTTAATGAAACCAAATTTTAAGATGACTAAAAGATGTAAAAACATTTTTAAAAAAATAGAAAGAAAACAAAGTTCTCAAAAAGAAAAGGCCCTTACAACAAAAACAAGAGCTTACAGTAATGTCCGGGATGGGGCGGCATAGGCGGGTGGTGCTGAAGATGGCCGTTTTGATGGTGAGGCAAATTAGGTGTGTATGGTGCAGTTCTACTTCCAGTCCAGGTGGTAGTGCTGTCTAAAAATTAAGGCCCACATGGATTAATTTGCTTTTATAAACTCTGCCTATTTTTTCTCAACTACTTAGAAGATTTTAAAAAGCATATACATACTATGATGGTAAGTAGCTGGCTGACCAGTAAATCCATTCTGCTGCTGTCCTGGCTGAGGCCCTGAAGCTATCTGCAACAATCCTTCACTATGGCTGCCTGCCAGTATACTGGCAGGCTGACCTAGAGGAACAAGAAGACATTAATATGGTACATTTATAGAGGCAATCCTATGGTTTTATACAGTAAATGAAGGATCAATTATATCTGATGGTCACAATTACAAAGATGAGCAAAAAGCAGAATTCACCCATGGCCTATATAATAAAAAAACCCTAGAGTCATCTATAAAGGCAAACCTTAACTTGAAGAAGTTCAAAATTATTCTATCTTTAAGTAATATCTAGCTAATTTTATTGGCCCATTTCTTCACAAATATTCTTCAAATGCCAGCAAAACCCCACTATAGGTCTAGCCTATCATAATAACTTCTTCAGAAGCACACTAGCTCACTCCCAGCCACTCCATCTAGCTCTGGACCTTTCTGACTAGGACTCCAAAAGTCCAGGCTCAAGAAAATGTTGGAAAGTTCATTATTATCAGCACTGGTACTGGTAATGGCAGAATGCTAGAGGGTGATCAAAGAAAAGGAGAGCAGGCAAATATTTTAAATGGAATGTGATGGGTAAGGTGAGAAGGTTAAAAAAAAAAAAAAAGGTAAGCTCCACTGTCCAATCAACACAGCATCTGCTAGTTAAAACAAAACAAAACAAAAAATCAGTCTATTTTGAAATTTTTTCATGTGCTTTTAAAAATCAAGAATTGCCTCTAAGAACACTACCATACTCCTGGATTCACAAGAAATTAGTTGCTCTCTCTGTATGTAATATACCAGGAGAACTATTCTATTCAAAACCATTCTAAGAAATTGCTTACATTTTTAAGGCTTTATTTTTTGTACAGAAAAAGCTTAATTTCTTCAAGCAAGAATTAATTAAGTCAACTGTGCATCTCACTTGGAAAGCAATGAAATTCCATAATTGTTATTTGTTACTGTCATTACCTCAATCTTTTCTCATCTATGTGGGAGTATAATCAGATAGAAGAGAGTAAATGACACCATTGCTCGAATATGCAATGAACAGCTCAAAGTATGAAGAAAAAGGAACATCTTTCTCCTCTCTACAACTCACATTTCCTTAAGGCTAAGATTATAAAATTGAAAGCTAAAGAGACTACTTCAATACTCTCTATTTTTTTAAAGAGGATGTTTTCAGCTACCTCCCATCCTATTCATCCCCCTCAAATTTTTCCATCTTTAAAGTTAATTAAATTTTTACTCTTGCTTTTTAACGACTGTACGTGGTGCATACTCTTAGCTATCTTACAAAAACTGTCACTTGCAGAAGAAATTAAATTATTTTAATTTACTACAGATATTTAGAAAGAAACCCTGAAGATACTCAGGTACCAAATGAACATAAAGCCCACTGCAGTTATCTGTACTGAGTATTTCCATTACACAATTCCAAGTACATAAAATGAAATTAAACAACTAAATCAGCTCACATAGTCTTCCAATTCCCCTATTTTAGTCCAATTTCTTTTCTTTCTTCTAATTTTATCAATACACTTTTTGAGATCTAAGGAACCATTCTGCAACAAATTCTAAAACTTATGGTAATCATTACTCATTGCGAAAATATATCCAAAAAACACCAAGACAAAATTATCCACATTTCATTCATATCACTTTATTTGAATAGGACTCAGCCCCAGGGAACGTAACAGTTAAAATGAAGTCACTTTAGCAAGCATCAACAAAGGCATGCAAATTCAACCTCCAGGTAGTATCAACAGAGGTTAAGTGGCACTAATCTATGCTCAAGTGGCTGTAACGTACCTTCTTTTATTCTCCTTCCCTACCCACTCTGTTTGTCAACTATATTCCCAAATTAGTGAATAAAGAGTAGACAGATAACAGAAGCACCAAGTGGTTAAAGATTCAGGTTCCCAAGTTTGTGTTTAACCTATATGGCCCACTTGGAATATGCTGTAGTGAGACAGTCTGTAGTGAGACTGTCATCTCATGTAGCAAATCCAAAAGATATTGTGTGAAGAGGTAAAATGAATTAAAGAGGGGGAAATTTGGTATACTTTATTTGAAACTCAATTGTAGAAATCAGTCCTACAGAAATCAGTCCTTTGATCTTATTCCAAAGATCAACTTTCTATGTTGAATCTGATCTGATATTAAACAGAATAATGCTTCCTTTGATAGCAACTAACAAGTATCAGTCCAGATCTATCAACAATTCACTGCTGATGTGGGCTTAGATACAATCTCCTTAGCAAGCAGGTACAAATAATACAATACAAATGGGAAGACCCTGTTCTGTGATTAATTTAAAAACAAAAAGAAGGCCACTCAACTTGCCAAGTTGAAAACTGTCCAACCTTTGGTGGCTATGAAAATAAGGTCATTATTTCCTTGACCAGGCCCCAAGAAAATCTGGACCTAATAGCACTCTGCCTCCATGACATGGCAGAGAAGGTGAGCACCTCTTTAATGGGAAGAATCTTTTGAAAACAGACTTGTTAGAAAAAAAATAAAATAAAGTTAGATACACAGAATTTAGCTTTATTTCAAAGTTGACTAAAATACTTAACATCTATCTTGAGGGGTATATGTTTGTTACTAACAAATTTGTCAAGATTCCTTTTTCTAAGTTTGCACAACTGGAGACTGAGATGACTATTATAAAGTAATATTCTGCCAGATACAGCAAAATAAAAATACTGATTAGAGGAAAGCTTGCAATTCCATTAACAAAGATTTTTATAAACCTCTTGGTTCAAAACTACTTGTTGGTAACTTAAATATTTCTCTAAAATAGATCTGAAAGCTTAAGAGACTTCTTACTTCTGCGTGTAATAAAGTACAAATTACACCATTAATTTAAATCATTACTTAAATTCCAAGTGACTATACATCAACATAAGAACATTTAAATAAATTACAAACACCATTTTTTTCCAGGACAACTCAAAAACCTATTTAATGCTTGTTTACCTATGAAAGATACTCTGTTGGAGGTTTCCTCCAAGTGGTTACCTATAAATATTTAATGGTTAGGAAAATTCATCTTGCTGACTACATCTGACTCTACAACTCACTTGTGGAAGCCACAGGAATGTTGGGAAAGTTGGTGGTGCTGGTAGCGTTAGACTCAGATGGGGCTAAGAGAGCTGGGGTGCTGTAGGTCTCCGTCGATGCACGATTACTTGGTGGATGCTGGATGGTTTGAATTGAATGCCCTTCAGTGGATAATGATGGCTGTCCCTCAAAGTCATGAACATATTCATCCTTCACCAACATACTAGGTGGAGCTATACAGAAAAGCAAACATATTTTAAAATCTTATAAGCTTCTATTCCCAGAAAAAAAAAATCTTATAACTAATATAACAACACCTTAAATCAACTATAGTGTGTATCAGTCTAACTCAGAATTTTCTAGTACTATTTTTAAAGCATACTATTCTATCAGCAAAAGCTATTTATTTAGAGGTAGTGGCATCAGATCAATCTGACTGACTCCTTGAAATCTGAAGGCAGACCATATTCCAACAACCTCCAGCAATAGTCCTAAAGAGGTATTTTTAGTTTCTTGATTAATAATCTAAAAGTAATCATCACCTTAAATACATAGAATAAAGTAGACAAAAAATCAAGTGGCTGGGGAAAATATTTACCTAGTTAAGACGACCAAATTGAGATCAAGTAATTACTTTTTTTAATCTTTTTGCTAATTTCACGGTGTAAAAATATGAGTGGGATCTGACAGCTATCCAATTCCAGATCTAGAATTACTGTTTAGTAACATAGTCTTTGAAAGTGAAGTATACTGAATATCCCCTAAAAGATCAGAATGAGCAGAAAAATCCCAAATGGTAAGTCAAACTGAAATTTCCTTCTAGAAACCCAATCCAAATAATGATGTTTGATAAATATGTAGTGTGAAAAAACTCGATAAACAACATCTTTCGCCTACGTGGTTACACCTTAATAGCAAAGCTAGGCTCTAGCTGATATAACACCTTTTCTTGAACAAACCAGGGAATAATTAGTTGGCTTTGTTGTGAGGAAAAAAAGGAAAATTGAAGCTGCACTTACAATAATCAATGCTTCTCTTGCCCAGAACCTCCCCATTTCTTTTTAGGCTACAGTTTTGGGGTTTGCTTTTTATCTTTAGCAAACAACGCTTTACTGCATCTGAACTAACACTACCCTAGAATTTTATAATCCGTTGAACTCTAACACTAGGTTCTTTTCTTAGAGCAGTTAACAGTCCACAAAAAGACATTCTCTTTTCCATTGAGAATCAGCATATAATGCTCCTTATCTTTCTCTATGTTAATCTTTGAAAAAATCCATTACACATAAATACTAACTAGTTACACAGCTACTTTTTTATTAAACTGAGAATATTTCAAAGAGGTAATAATAATCTATTGTTCAGACTTCCACATACAATCTCTTAAAGGGCTTTCTCATGCATCAAAAGTAATGAAGACGCTGATATTTTTAAGACCCATAAATCCCACTACAAAGAGTTTCTCTTTAGAAAATTCTATGGAAACAAAGAGATAACCAAAAGGAGCTTAACATATCATTATATGTCAGTAAAAAAAGTGGATCTAAAAAAAAAAAAAAAAAAAAAAAAAAGTGGATCTAACCACTCACCACTAATGTTGGCCAAATTATAAAAATGCAAAGAAAAAATCATTTGAGACATAAAGCGGGTATGACTGTATTTATTCAGTTTCTTAAAAATCATACTCTTCAACAAAGTCCTATGATTTTCTGCACATAGATCCTGACATCTCTATTAAATTCTTGGAAATTTTAGGGTTCTTTGCTGTTTATAGCGACTGGGATCTTTTGACCAAGATATCGGTATTGCTAGTACATAAGGAGAAAGTTACTCATTTGAGGATATAGCTGGTCAACTTGATACTCATTATTTCTGCTTTTCAGTTGACACTTTGGCTTAATGGGCAATCATAACAACTGAATTCTGGGCATTCCCTGGTGGTCCAGTGGTTAGGACTCGGTGCTTTCAGTGCTGTGGCCCGGGTTCAATCAATCCCTGGTCGGGAACTAAGATCCCACAAGCCACATGACGCAGCACACCCCTCAAAAAAAAAAGAAAGAAAGATTTGAAAATAACAACTGAATTCTGCTTTTAAACAGTTATGCCTCATAACTTTTTCTTGCCTAATATGTTGGTTAAACCTTCCCAAGTGTAAGTTTGGGACTTCTACCAGTCTACAGGTCTCTTTAATCAAATAACTTAAAACATAAGTTTCTTAGGTAAAACTGGGTATCAACAAGGATAGATGTCTGCAATATACTTTTGCCAAGAGAAAAAAGGTAGGTTATAAAACACTACTGTACACTATGATCATACTCATGTTTAAAAAATCCTATAAGTGAAAAAGCAAGGTCCAGTACAGTGCACAATACGCTTTTTGTGTAAGAAAGAAGGGAAATAATACATGTATTTTTGCACAAAGAAACCCTGGAAGGAAACACCAGAAACTAAAAAAAGTGATTACCTGAGGTAGGGGGGAATGGGGACAGGGGTGGGAGCACTTCTTTTCACTGTATACCTTTTTATAGTATTTTGATTTATGGACCATGTATTGCCTATTCAAAAAAATAAGATTGAAAAAAACATATAGTATATATTTTTAAAGTCCAGGAAACAGACACCAAACTGTTAAGTATTTCTCTTTATGGACTAGCATTCAACAAATTAATTCACTGAAAAAATATTTATTGAGCACCTATGTTCCAGGTACTGTTCTAGCACTTGGGATACAACAGTAAACAAAAGAAAGATCACTGCCCTCACAGAGCTTACAGTCTTTTATGATATTTTTCTATTGTTTAAATATCTAATAGTGAGCACACATTACTCCAGCCCCTCCTAGCTGTCTAATCTTGGGCAAGTTCCTTGACCTCTCCAGGCACCAGTCTCTACATCTGATAAAATGTAAATAATGCCATCTACCATGTAGGAGTATTATGAGAATGATGAGACAATATTTGTAAATTATTTTGACACAAAATAAATACTTAGAAAGTGTTAGCTATTATGATTTAACCATACCCTTAGAGCGGACATACCTGTATATAGAGATTGTAAAATGTTCTGTGAGGAGTAAAGAACACATAGCAGACAGAAAAGCTGAAGACACTGAGCTCATCCTAGGTCTCTGTTCTTTATTACCACCAGCAAGCAGGTCACAGCTTGTCTGATGGTACTGTCACTGTCTTATTTACCTTTTCTTTCCTCCACTAGACTATGAGCTCCCTCAAGGGGAAAAAACATACCTTATTTATCTTATCGTCCCTGGAACCTAACACAGTACCAGGCAATACATGCTCATTAAATATTTGTTAAAATCAACACACAAGTCAATGTGGTCATGGAAAGTTTCACGAGAGAGATGAGACAGGCTGGAAATGATTACCACCAAGATCCCAACTCAAAAGTGAAGGAATTTGCTTAACTTTTAACTACCTGGCCTTATATTATTTCTTTGTCCAAATCTAAAAGGCCCTGTGAGAAACACCTGTTGTTTTCTAAGGAAAGAAGTCACTGAAGCCAGCCTTTACATAGCCACCACTAGGGGGATCCATAAGGCTGAATATAGGGCTAGAGCAACTAAAAGGGGCTATCAACCCACACAAGCCCATCAATAACAGGTACTCCTAACAGCAGTATTTTCGGACAGGAAGCAGTGTAATGAGTCTTCAGAATCAGATCTCCTCACAACCACGCCCCTAGGAAGATTCTGATATAGTTATCACTACAGCTGCCCAACCCCTAACACCCACTGAGCTAAAAGCTTTCATTCTCCAAAAACACAGATGAAGAATGGTGAAAATCTGAAGGGTGTTTACTTTCAAAAAGAGGTGATATGATATCAACGTCTGTGTGGTGAAGAGACTAGGTTTTACCCAATCAATCTTAAAGCTACCCTTCTCAGACCACCACAACAGCTTCCCTTATCAGCCCACTGTTCTCAGAAACCAACTAACCCTTAACAAGTATGAAAAGGCACTAGAGTCTTCCTTTATTATTACTGACATGGAAGAGAAGTGGAGAATAAAAACAAGTAGACTTCCATGCTCTTCCTAAATTTTAATGTCAGATATTTCTGGCCCATCTCTTAAGATTCTGCAACAAAAGAGGTGCTGAGCCACTAATTTGCCTTCAAAACAATGGCACACCTTACTAAGACGACAGTGGCTCTTTTATCAGAATTTCTCTGCAAATTAATTAGTTCTTACAGAAATTTCAGTTCATTAACATGTTCCAAGAAACAGAGCTAAAGTTTTAAGAGACCTCTGTTCTCAAATATTACACACAAAAAACACCTCCCATATGTTACATTTCCCCACCTCAAAACACTCTTTCCTTTAAAATAGAATTAGAACATCTGTGATTGGCAGATACTTTAAAGTAGCCTTGTTTTAGTTACTCAAAATGTAACAAGACAAAAAAATTAATATAGTACACAGTTTTAAGTCCTTCATAAAATTACCATTCATAAAAATAAGTTAGGCTGAAATGAAGAAAAATGACAATTTTGGTGTTTTTAAACTATATTACACATGATTCTAAATTATCAGAGGTTATTTATATCCATTTAAATTAAAATAAATACTTTGAGGATTTTCAAAACAATAAAAAAATAAACTGGCTCTGTGAGATTTTCTTCCAAAATAGCCAGTTTTTACCAATTCAAAATCTATTCTTCTTTTGTATGTTCCCCTATCATATTTTTTAGACTACTTTCGGTCATAAACAGCAGTTCAAAGCCAAAGAGCCAACAGCCTATTTAAATACAGTTTTAAATGCTGATGAACGCCCCCCCCAAATCTACATTTCCAAAGCAGTAAGTTTTTTTCTTGTCAATGTTACCAGCGCCCACACAAACTAGTTCTGGGTCAATAAAGAATAAAGAGGATGGGGTAAAAGAAAAGAGAAAGTTACAAGAAACGAATTACCTACCATTACTCTGCAGTGTTAATCCTGAGAGATCTTAAATTTTTAAAGGGGAAAAGAAAATAAAACATTAATCATTAGCATGAAAATAGTTTCCATTATATTTAAAATAACATAACGTAAATTTAAGCCAGGGATTCAAAAATTCCATGAACAATTTCAATTCAAGAATAGTAGTATAAATGCTATCTAACAATGCATAAATGCTTTCCATCTTATTTTTCAAAAACAATGTTCTAAGTGGACAAAATATCAACTATGCATACTTAGTTTTAGCAGTCAAAATACAAGTTTGTTCTGAATTCAAATTTAAATATTTGTATTTCATTAAAAATGTCTGATTCTTTAACCTTAGTTGAAGTCCTGGGCTATCTCCAAATCTGTAATTTAACTGAGAAAAATTAAAACACTATTGAGATCCTTTCCCTTTGTGCTTCTAAGCATAAAAGCAAAGTCTACTTACCAATTCCAGGTGATACAACTCGTTCATAGTGATATGGATTCACACAGACACTATCACATTTTAAGTCAAATGCATACTGACAATATTTAACATGTTTTAATTCGTTTTTGTGAAGATCAGGCCACCTCCAGAGACGGGCATAGATCACATGAGGAAATCCTTTCCGACCAGCCACCTAAGAAAAATAAATGAACATTTATTGAGCATCAGTTATACAGCACATGTTATACAAGGCACTTTATATGTTCTCATTTAATCCTTACAGTCCTACAGAGTCAGTATTATAATCCCCATTTCTTAAATGAGAAAAACTAAAGCTCAAAATAACTTACTTGGCTGTGGTCACAAAGCAATAAACTTAGGTATGATTTCAAGGCTTATGCTCAGGTTTTAAAAATGCAAAAAAAAGTACGAGTTTGAAGAAGAAACCGTGCCTAAAATCTAGAAATAAAAATTTAAAACCTAACAATATAAGCTTTCTATATGTTTCTTTAAAACTATTAAATACAGGAGGTGTATTATGTAGTTCTATATGAAAAATCTGATCAGTGAAAATAAAAGGTAAAGAAAATTTGTAAATGTAAGTTTTTAACCCCGCAAGTGTTAAAAGTATGCTTGAATTCTTCTGGATTGTTTTTCATATGAAAAGTACCAAACATACAATATCAGAGTTCTAAATTATAAAAGAACTGAGTATAACTCAGTTTTTTAAATGTGCATATAATACCAAAAAAAAAAAAAAAAGGATGAATACCAAGTTACTAAAGATGTGGCTTTTCTTCTGATTTTTATTTTTATTTTCCAAATTTTCTACACAGAACATTTTTTTTAGTCAAAACATTTAAAAACTTTTAAGCTATATCTCTGTTGTATGAAAGATACATTCTTCCATATATTCCCATAATATGTACTGGTACAGGATGTGTACTATGATATCTAAAGAGACAGAGCAAGCATTAGATTTCCCATAGTAACTTAAGAGGAAAAAAGAATTTGTAAAAATCTGCCACTACCGAAGATACAGAAAAGCCTCTAGAACAAGACTAACCTGAAGCCTTCCATCCAATGTTCTCTGTATGGTAACACATTTGCTAGGGTGAGCTCCATTTGTAGTTATAGCTGTTATTAAAGAATCCAATTCATCTTTTTTCTCCTTCAGTTTCTTTACCAAACTTTCAATTGCTCTTTTTGCAAATGTTTCACTCTCTCCACCTTGTCTATGGCACATCAAACTATGTACAATGCTCAGACAGGCATCATTACTTGTTGGTGTATTCGTAATAGACATATTGTCCATTTGTTAGTTATTTCTTTTAAATCAAATATGTTTCCAATTTCCGGAGCAATTTTGATCTTTTGGAGGCAGTGAAAAACAACGGCTAACGTTGCAATGAAAATTATTAGACATGTGGTATTCAGGATAACCTAAAAAAAAAAAAAGAGAGAGAGAGAGAGACAGATATTAGAACACATTTCACAAACTAGATTCAATTTCTTGGGAAAAGATGGAATTGCTCCAGTTAAGTCAAAGACTGAATGGACGTAATTAAAATGTGGTGCTTAGCATTTTAAATGACTTAATTAAAATGTTGCTGTTTTTGACATTCCCAAAATGTTAAAGTTAGGCCTTCTCATTATTATAGAAGTATGTTCAATCAAGTCTTGTCGACTGTACTACACCCTAAAGTAAAATCTTAACACAACTTCTTAAAAAGATTACTTATGAAGACCAGCACTTTAAAATATTCTTGATCAACAACTAGCTAAACCTAAAAGTCTATCACTACACATGAAAAATTCACCATCACCTGGTACCAAATACTGTTTATCAGTTAACAACACACAACTTTGTTATAAGAGACCACTGACAACAATAAAAAGATGAATAATTTTTAAATGGGCAAAGGATTCTAATACTCATTTCCCCAAAGAAGAATGGCCAATAAGCACATGAAAGGTACTCAGTATCATTAGTCATTACTGAATTGCAAATCGAAACTACAAAGAGATACCACTTCACATCCACTAGGTTGGATAAATCAAAAGAATAGACAAAAAAAGTACTGGCGAGGGACTTCCCTAGTGGTCCAGTGGTTAAGAATCCGTCTTGCAATGCAGGGGACACCGGTTCAATCCCTGGTCGGGGAACTAAGATCCCACATGCTGCAGGGCAACTAAGCGTGCACGCCACAACTAGAGAGCTCAAGTGCCACAACTATAGAGACCACACACTCTGGAGCCCGCGTCACAGCTAGAGAGAAGCCTGCACGCCACAACGAAAAGCCCACTCACTGCAACGAAAGATCCCGCGTGCCGCAACTAAGACCCAACACAGCCAATAAATAAATATTTTTTTTTAAAAAAAGTATTGGCCAGAAAGTGGAGAAAATGGAACCCTCATATGTTGCTGGTGGGACTGCAAAATGGTACAGCCATCTTGGAAAGTAGTCTGACAATTCCTCGAAATGTTAAACACGGAGTTACCATATAACCCAGCAATCCCACCCTTAGTAATTCCATCCAAAATTACCAGAAACCTATGTTCACAGCAGTATCTTATAATAGCCATAAATATAATCCAAATGCCCCTCAACTGACGGATGTATAAATGAGTATGTCTATACAATGCAATATTATCCAGTCATAAAAATGAATGAAGTACTGATATTTGCTTCAACATGGATGAATCTGGAAAACATGTTAGGTGAAAGAAGCCAGTCACAAAAGGCCACATGTTGTATAATCCCATTTATATAAAATATTCAGAACAGGCAAATGACCAAAACAAAAAGTAGATTAGTGGTTGCCAAAGGCTGGTGGGGGGGAGGAGGAGTGACTGCTAATGGGTATGGAGTTTCTTTTGGGAGTGATGAAAATGTTCTAAAATGGATGGTTGTACAACTCTGTCACTATAGTGAAAACCATCAAATCATACACTCTAAAAGAGTGAATTTTATAGTATGTGAATTATATATCAATACAGTTATTATTTTTAAAAAAGAGAGACCACTAAATTCCTCAAAAGATTTTACCCATAAAAGCAATAGGGTAAATTATTTTCAAAAAAATTAAAATATAGAAAATGAATATTAATTAAAAATCCATTCAACATTCATAACACAAACTAACTTATCTAACCTCAAAATCTCACATGGAATAAGAAAAGGCCATCAGCCTAAGAATAAGTGAGATAAAGCAGGAGTGGAGGCTGTACTTATGCCAGGTTGTTTTTCATTTGTTTGTTGATGGTGTTGCATTCCATGCTTATTTTGCTTTTATTTTCTTCGGCTATTTACTTGAATTTTAAAAGCCTACCCTCCACGACCAAATTAATAAAACTAACTCATCAGTCCCTACCAAAACCTGTTCCTCTTCTGACGACCTTTACTTGTACAGCTTAAACTCCACTCAATTACCCAGCGTTGGAAAGCTTGGTAAATCATCTTTGACCTACCTCTTTCTTTGACTACCCCCTACATTCTCTCACAAAGTTACATGATTCTTTACCTTAGTCATTTCTATCAATTTCTATTCTACCAGACACTGCTGTAGTTTTGGGCTTCCTTTAAATTTATATCACTTGCTATTTAACACCTGTTCCCCTCTATTGTTACCTGTTTTACATAAACGCCTGCCCTAGGCAGAGAAAAAGCAGTTTTTCTTATACCTTTGAATACTTAACCACTTGCCCACATGCTGAGGGTACACTTTCCAGATAACCAAAGATTACCTGCCTGGTAGGTTTTGGAGTTAGAGATCTAGATTAGAATCCTAGCTCTCACACTAAGTAGTGGGACAAATTAAGTTACTTAAATTCTCTCTGAACATGGATTAAAAGGAGAGCGTACAAAGTGAAAAATCTATATTAATGTTTAGTAAAAAGCAGCTACTCTCTGAATACTAAAATGTTTAATTGTTTTAAAAAGAGATTTTCCTAAAACACATTATGTATTTTTCTGCATTTTCTCCTATTAAAATTTGTCAAAGAAAATTTGACAAAAAAATCAATGCAGGGGGCCTGGGTTCGATCCCTAGTCAGGGGAACTAGATCCCACATGCCACAACTAAAAAAGATCCCGGATGCCACAACTAAGACCCGGCACAGCCAAATAAATAAATAAAGTGAATAGCTGCTACTCACTTCCGGCAGAAGTGGCATTTGAGCTGCCACATCTTCAATGCCTATTTATATGTCAAAAATAAGTATTGGCAACACACCTGTAGGGAAAGGGAAGGAAGGAAGGAGAAAGAGCAACCACTGTGTATGCCAAACCAAACACACCTTCAACTCACATCTGGCCCAAGAGAATCACCAGTTTGAAATCTCAGAATGCCAACCTCAAAATTGTAATTTCTAGACTTCAAAAGCTTTCAGGGACAGGGACTGTACTCGTCTTAGTCATCATTATATGCCCAATTCCTAGGACATATAACCGTTTCTTATTGTTAAATGAATGCATTTCTGCATGTGCTTTCAGATTCATGCTCAGGCTATTTCTTTTGCCTAAAATATCCAGTCCTATTTTATCTACTTGGTGAAGTCCTAGCCATTCTTCAAAGTGCAGCTTAAATGTCTCAATTTCTCCAAGAGTTTCCCCTAACACAGTCTCCTCTCCCCACAATCCTGAAGGAGAATTACTTCCCTGGTGTGTTTACTATGTACCCTAGTATATTACCTGATGCCTCCATCAAATTAAAAACACACCCCAATTACAACACATTATATTATAGTTGTTTGATTATGTATTTGTTTCACACCCTGTTGCCGTAAGTTTAGAAGAAAACAGCAACACCTTCCCATCTTAAAAAATCCTAGTACAGTACAGTTCCTTTCATATACCAGGCAAATGATTGCAAGTTGACTACAGCTTTTTTATTTGGTGTCATTTCCTTGCAACAAATTTTGAAGAATGCAAATGCTTATGTCGTTGAAATCATTTTCTGATATTATATTCCAAAAGATTTGTTCCAATTTATAATGTAATTAAAGTGTTTGTAACTATTTCATCACAATCTCCCTGTTGGATGTTATCATCTCTAAAATTTAAGCTATTTTTGGCCCTAACAGTTTCTCAGAAACTGTTTTAATTGCACATTTCTTTGAACACTAGTGGAAATATTCCTATGACCATAAGTGCCTGAAACATAATTTAAAAGTTCCTTGCAATAAAAAAAAAAAAAGTTCCTTGTATAAAAAATAATACCCGCAGGGGTATATAGGTGTTGTTCTACATTAAATAGCTCTAGATTATAATTTTGTAAAGAGTGGTATGGAATGATAATAGACAAGGGCACTGGACTGGTATAAACAAAATTATATATTCTAATCAAAGCTCTAGCAGCATGATTAGGCAAGTTAACATCTCTTTCAATTCTCTTATCTATAAAATGGAAACAATATCTGCCTTGCCAAGTTTATAGACTGGCTATGGTGATCAAATGCAACAGGATATAAAAGCAATCTAGGGACCATAAATTGGCCAATTCAGCAAACACTGTATCCGCTAGGAGCAAAGCACTACAGATAAAAAAAAACAAGTAGCACATAATCAGAAAGTGGTTCTCAACTCTATCCAGCAGCCCTCCCCAACCTTTTTGGCACCAGGGACCGGTTTCGTGGAAAACAATTTTTCCATGCACGGGGGAGGGGAGGGAAAGGTTCAGGCTGTAATGCGAGCGATGGAGAGGCGATGGAGAGCAGCAGATTAAGCTACCCACCCTCACCTGCCACTTACCTCCTGCTGTGCGGCCCAGGGGGTTGGGGACCCCTGCTTTTGAGAATACCCCCCCTTTTTTTTTTTTTTTTTTTTGCGGTGCGCGGGCCTCTCACTGTTGTGGCCCCTCCCGTTGCAGAGCACAGGCTCCGGACGCACAGGCTCAGCGGCCATGGCTCACGGGCCCAGCCGCTCCGTGGCATGCGGGATCTTCCCAGACCGGGCCACGAACCCGCGTCCCCTGAATCGGCAGGTGGACTCTCAACCACTGCGCCACCAGGGAAGCCCCACCCCATTTTTATAACAAATAATTTATATCACCCCATTAGCTCTCCGGAAACAAAGTTCTAACCTATTTACGCTTTTTAAAAATTTTAACAATGCCCTAATTATAATATAAAGGGGGAAAAGATTAGTATATAATGAAGTGTGTATTTCAATAAAAATGCTCAGGCATATCAACAAAATCAGAAAGTATAATAAAGAGGTTGGATGCCTGAACTGATACAGTAAATCACCATAAACATGACAACTACAAATTCAGACCTTCCAAGACAGGTGTGTTGTTTTGGCACAATGGCATTGCAGTTGGTGAGGTGGATTTTCCAAAATAGTTAACTGTCAATAAAGTTCCAAACAAAAAAACTTCAATTAAACTGAATTAATGGGATTGACATGTACACACTACTATACATATATAAAATAGATAAC